ATCCACAACCTTGAACGTCTCCCCTTTGGCCGATGTCCGGTCAATGATTTTAGCAAACCAAAATAAAATTATGGACTATATCCTACAATCACATTATCGACTTTCCGAAATCTTTAAAGAAAATTATTTGACTTTACTCTTGAGACTACAATCCTTATTTCTAAATATGAATTCAAAACCACAAAAGAAATGCGATACTTCCATTCAGAAATCAGATAAAATTGTCTCAGTCAACAAAAATATTTTTCCCCAAAAACGAGAATTCCCCTTCGACGTTAAAAAACTATTGGAAGCGGTCTATGAGATGAAACCTTTTCCAAATTTTGATGAAAAGCAAGCATTAGCTTTAAAAACAAACTTGTCTAAAAGGCAAATTGAAATTTGGGTACGTATCAAATTCAATTTTCTTCTCTTTATTTTGATTTTATTCTAACATCATAAAGTTTACAAATAAAAGAGGTCGTACAAAATGATCTTTATAATACTTATGCTATATATCTATTATTATATACTCATAACACTATATAGTGCAACAATTGAATTTGTAGCTTCCTGAAGGTATCCGCTCAATGCTTTGTTGCTGGGGGTCCGAAGATGTGCTGGTCAATCCCATCAATACTTAATTTTGGTCCTTCTGCTATTTTGTTTTGCTTTCAATGAAAATTTTGTGATAATTGGTTTGTTTATTTTGTTTCTCTTTTTTTGTTTCGCACCCGTTTTAATCAGCCTCGATGATCTTGCGCATAAATTCAAGTAGTGCTGTTGGCAATCATTACTTGAATCATACGTAGACCAACGACTCTGTTCTTCTTTTTTATCTACATATCCGTTATCAAAGTTGAAAGACCATTCTTCAAAAATAAGACTTTCCAAAAACGCAAGATAGTGAAAGTAAGATAATACGGAAATCAGAACACTATCGGTCCATATCTGTTGCTACTGTTAGTGGTCGGGACTGGAGACCTTTAATGTAAAGTGATTCAACTCACGAAATACATACTGATGAAGCAATCTTCGATATATCATTTGTTGACCCAACTAATAAACCATTTAATAGTGTCCTCGCAATGATGAATTTATTTCTGGGTTTGCGGTGTCTCTCAGTCTTTTGCTCCAACCTGAGTGGTGAATGAATCATTGATGATTTCCACCCACTAATTTCAACAAACTTGAAATGACATCTTAAAGGATTTCTGAACTGTTTAGAAATAATTGTGGGTACTGCAACGAAACATCCACGATTTAAAAAATTTAATTTCATCGTTTTCGAGCAAGATGGTAGTTGAAATGAAATCCCTTCCATCCCAAAAAAGCTTTGATACAAAATACAATCCGAGCCCAAAAGATATTGAAGAGCAACAATTGGTTGATTAACATATATTTAAATGAACTAAATTATCATTTAAAGGGTTTTGAGAAAAGCACAACCATTAAATAAGATGATCACTCACGGACACAATCTGACACAAGGGCAAATTATCCATATTAAAAATGAGCACCCCAAACACACAAAACAGTAGCGCTGAAACCACTCCTAGTTAGTAGCAACCTTCTGCAAAGACATACATTCAAAAAACATCAATTTCATCCATGTGACTCTAAACAACCTTCAATAGCTACTCTGGTCTCCCCGATATGATCATTTGATACTTCGGTAACAGTTACAGGTCCGCATTAGTGCCATTCGCTGTACTATCCCACCTCCTTGCACAAAGGCCAGTGTTGTAGCTAATCCAAGGTATTTGCTGTACCAAATTTGTGATTATGTATTAAGGAAAATTGATTGGAAGCACCAAGGACAAAAAGGAAGTTTCCGGCCTCTTTTATAAGGCACTGGGATTGACTTCAGCCTCCCGCATAGTTGCATTGTCTCTCTCGGGGTCTGTCACCGGTCTGCTCCCGTAAAACTGTGTGCTCTACCCAACATTCCTATAAAAGGGGGCAGCGATCTCTTCAACGCCACTCTTTTTTATGTACTTCATTACCTTAATATTTAATCGTAGACACGCAAGCATGGCTTAAGGAGAAAAGTGCGGATTGTCTCTGGCAAAGAGCTGAGAGAACGATCGATGCTGCAACTTTTTTGTTTTGGCTTTGCTGTTGAGTCTTAGAGCTGCTTATTTTAGTCGGTCCCTTCAAGCATTCATCAATGAAAAACCTATTCATGCAGATCAAGTTATTTCCGACAAACGAAAAGTTGCTTCGACGTTCATTTGTTGGTGGTTGGTTTCAGAAAAATCATGTCCCGCTTTAATGGAAGTGGTGCCACACAATCGAGAGTATGGCGGTCCACTATTTGATAACTTGGAGATGTATTACTGAACCATTAGCGTTGCAGCAGGTATTAAAGTGACTACCGCACTGGCTTCCTCACTAAACCGTTGTCTATTATCCAATAAAAGATACTAAAAAAATGATTCCAAGAATTTGACTCAATAATTATATGATTGACAATGCTGATCAAGCAGGGGCGATTTTTTGTTGTTTTTATTGTGTACAACTTCTACGCTAATAGTGGTTTTCATCGATTGACACACAATAAGCAACGGACAGTTTGCGATGCTAAACATGCTTTCAATCATTCCGGCAATGAAAGATTTGCTGGTGGTCCCATGTCAGCGCCACTAGCCATGCTCGTAAAGATTTGCTGAAACGCCACAATGAAAAAACAGAGACACTTGTCTACTGCGTGGATGCCACGGCAAGACGCTTTTGCTGGTCTGTCAACTGCAGGCAATGCTGGTGATGGTATGGTTGTTTTGGATGCCATTAAGGATAGTCACTTGAAGTTGGTTTGGCCGTGAACCAATCTAGCACGTTTATGGTGAGTTCAAATTGTATTAAGTTTTTAGTAGTGCTTCCCGACATTTGTGTGTTGTCGCTGATTTGAGTCGCGACATTTCATTTAGTTAAGATTTGGGTACTGCCATATGTGTCACTATCATTGAAGCCAAAATTGCTTGTAGTACAATTGATTTGAATGGTAGATTATTGGAGCATATTGTTAATGCACCTCACAGCGCAAAATGCATTGTATTTTCACCTGCTACAAGTTAAAAGGCTGGCACTGGATACACGTACAATACGATTATCTTGGAAGTGCTTTGGACGGTGCAGACGCAGGATCATGGTTGTGTGAAAGTTTTTTTTACATAACTGCTGACCCGTAACTGACTCGTGATTGCAACCAGCTTTGATGACGTCCGCGGGTGACTGTGGCATGAGACTTGCTTACCTATCACGGCATTTGTCTTGGTTGCAGGCTTATACTGTTCGTCTTCTCCAAAAAACTTACCATAGTAATTTAGATGTGCTCTACGACACAGGCCACCGCTGCGCTTGTTCATGTACTTCCTGATATTGTCGGGCGGATGGCGGTTGTTGCAGTTCACAAAAATCGTTGCTTTCTTGACACTCATCATGATTATTCAAAATATTTTGGTGTGGCTCCTCTTGCTTCACCACCAGTAGCTGTCTAGGTTTAGTATAATGAGTTAAAATTACCCACAGCTTTCGATAAATGGGCTGATATTGTCAGAATTGTGAGAGAATTTGAATCCTCTCTATTCAACGACTTCTGCCAAACCGACAGAATCAAGCTTAAATATTCGGCTTTTATTAAATCTCATCAAAGTGCGGTCGATCATCGTTGGGATGTACCAATCGATTCAAAGGACACCACAATTTGAGTCTGAGCTTATGTTCCTGATCATTTGTGGAATCATTATTCGATTTGGCTAGTGTGTGTCCTCAAGATGATACCTGCCATCCATGGCGCTTCAATAACCAATCATTTTGAACTATTTCAAATATAAAGCGCTACTGCTGCGTTGATAAAAGATTTTGGATGTGTCGTCGATGCCATGACTTCTAACCAATTCATGAAACGATGTTAGATCATTGAAATTTTTTCTAAGGTTTTGTTGGACTCGATTAGAGTAGCGAAGGGTACATCCTGTTCAATCTTTTAACGGCTCTGTTCTTGTCTGCTCATTTTTTTCAACTGAGGGAGGAAGAGTTTTGCTCAATGATTTATGTGGTGCGGCAATCGAACAAACAATTTCATTTGCCGTTGGAATTGCTCTTTCATCTGCTGCTTCTATGCGGGACCAAACTTCTTTTGCAGAGTATGGGAAAGATAACACATCTCGACTGCTTCAATCAATACATCAAAACATATCTCAACCACGGATCAGCACCGTACTGAAATGATTTTGGATGATGGTGACAATGAAGGTGCCAATGAAATTGAATGGCGTACAAAAGAATGTGTTTCAATGACTGATGATTATGATCAAATTTTTGATCGAACCACCGATGGTAAATTTGAAGAAGTCCAATTTGGTGGAATAAAAAGAGTTCGTCACAAATGACTTGAGGAAATTGGAAGAGAGCTTTAGTGGTTTGCAAATATCTTGAGATAGCCCGTTAGTGAGAAATGTCCTCTGACCATGTTGGCTGCAACCTTTTCTGCCGGCACTACATCGGAATCATGGAATGCACTCCCAATCTGAAACGGTGCATGTCATTCAGTGTTTTAGGCATTTTTTGAGTACAACATTTTTTTTCTGTTGATGATCCTGCTCTAAAATAGCTAGTAGGCTGTCGATACTTACTTGCAACAAGATGAGAAGCAAATGGTAGTTTTCCAATGCGCGGAATATTTCATCGCTGTTGATCGGAGTTTCAAGGTGTTGATCATACATAAACAATTAGTGCGGCAGTTCGCTATGAAGGAGCATGAGTTTTTCTGGGTTTTTGCGCAATTAAGGATTTGGAGGTTTATCGAATGGATGTAGTAACTCAGATTCGCCATGATGATATCGACGAGAAAAATTACATGAAGTGCCCTCCTTCATATGGTAATGCTGAGTAATCTTTGATTGTTCGAAAGTTCAACAGATCAATCGCTCAGCTCAAAAATTTTGTCTTTGCTGGGAAAAAAAGACGGTTAAATATCTTCAATTGTGTATGATCCAAATATCTTCAAGTGAGCTTGCGGTGCTTTACTTTTTGAAAGACAAACATTCACTACATGCATTGACTATATCTCTATGATTTTCTTATCGCAAATTTCAGATGCAATTCTCTAGCTGGTCGAATCATATTTCACTGAAATGTTCAACATAAAAGTTCATGGACAAACTTCAGTAGGTGCCTTGCACTTAAAGTTGCGCGGATTCAGAGCAAGATGTTGATCGCTTTGTTGCCATACGTCAAATTGATGGTGGAGCGGCCTAAAATGGACCACTCAAAGTTACAGGGGACACCAAAGACGATTACCCGATACAAAATGCTACTGGAAAACCATGGGTCTGAAGTTGACGCTGATGCATCAGCAGTGCCGAGATCAGTTGTTGCATCGTTGAATTTGGTTGCTTAATATTTTGGCTGCGATACAGGTTTCGCGGCTTTTTCTCTGTTGATATCCTTGTTGACGATGCCATTTTCACTCAAGCTCTGTTAAAATGGGTTTAAAATATTGAACTCACACTATTATACCCTTCAGTAAAAACCAGCTTCATGCGTTCAGTTAGTTACATATGTTTAATGTCCTTGGGCTGCGGATATTGATGATGTGGAATTGCTTGGTGGCTGCATGCCGCTCTTTATTTAAAACCCGGTCACCTTGAATTTATGGAAGCAGCATTCAGCATTCTTGCAGATTTGTGAAGGAAAATACGTTTCACTAACTAATGCAGTCAAAGAGGCTGTATTCCAATTGCAGGTTTTCCAGTATATTGGTTCAGATGGTTATCACCTGATTGCCAATTGCGATAACATTCTTGCAACTAACTTTGCTAAATTTCCCACCAACCGCAAAACCTCAAAGAGTATTCCAATTAGGCATCAGTTCATTTGAGGATTGTGCAATTGGTTTCTTTCAATTGCAAAAATTGAAATAAAATGTAATGCTGCTGATGTGTTATCCAAAGCGCTTAACCCCTCACTGTTCACCTATCGCAATTCATTCCTTCAACGATCAAACTGCTCTACGTTTTACTTTCGTTTTTCTGGTAGATTGTGGGTTTTCTCACTATGGTTGTTTGATTGATTACCATTGGTTACGCTTATGTGATATAACTCATTTGTTTGAGTGTCCGTGGCTATATCACATGCATGTTGCTAGTAATTTAATGTGTTACTGGATCCCATTTTCTTTTACTAAAAGTTCAAGTTGAAATTGTACAGTACTTTCATTCCATTGGATTGTTGATTTGGTGATTTAATAATCTATATTCTTGTTTCAAAACAACCAATTCTTGTCGCCCCAAAGTATATTCATTTGAGGGCCGTCGTTGAAATTGGAATTCGTTCCATTTCGCTCTTCAGCAAATGTGTGAAGATCAGAGTCTGCACTTACAACTGGTAAGCGTTTGCCCAAGAGGAGCGGTTTTTTGCAGAATCTTTAAATTGTTCGACCTCGTTGACCCGATCGAGTTACGTTTGGTTACCGAAATATCCGGGCTGAGCTGAGCCTCCCCGACGTCCACATTTAGTCCCTCTGGGGCTGCCACTGCTCTGCATTTCTGATGTTGTGTGAACAAACGCGGTTTTCCATATAGGGGCCGGCGTTCTGCTCATCGATCTTCCATTCTATATACTACTCTGCTGTTGTGTACTCTCAGTGATGTGCTTCAACAAACGATGTGCTATTCTTTGCGAGGTATTTCTCTGATGTATTAGTTAAATTGCGAAATACTTATGCTACTGTTGATGCTGAAGAAGCAATTTTATTGACCGGGTCACTCTTTTGCTCTAAGAAGCCAAATACATTTTTCAATATGAGAAATCTCAAAAAGTTGGGATTCAATACTCTTTGATATTCTCTACCTTTCTTACGCTATTGAAATTGTCGCGATCTTCCTTGCTGCTTCTGCGTTGGGTTCCTTCTACCGTGAAAGACGTTTAACTCAGTTTGCAGGCATTCACAGCATTTCCTTCACTGATGGACAATTGTCAACTAGTCCTATTATTGTTGATGTTGAATTCGCACAAATTTTACTTTGATGTCGTTGATTCAAACAAACTGGTGCTAATGGTGATCGACTCAGCGAATTAACTGGTGATTCACCACCCATTCGAGGTATTGGTTACAGTATCCTTTATATTGAAAGTGAGAATTCTATAATAATTGTGAATGGTGGATCGTTCAAAGGTGATCTTGATGCCCCTAATTGTGCAAATTTAAATCATCTTTAGCTTCTACATATGAAGGGACCTTGGTTTTTTTCGCTGATTGGTCTGAGTTTGCATTGAGGCATTAGCAGATGAAAGATAATCATTGGCAAAATATGAATGTCGCCCACCGCATCCGCTGTTGTGCTTGTTATTACTAGCTTGCGTCAACAGTTCCATGATTCAGGTGAGACTGTTGTAAATGAAACGAACATGTGAACCATCTTTAGTGGCGGTTCTTCAACAAGTGAATGGGGTCACAACGGGAAGGAATCCAAAGTAATTCCTCAGGCAGTTACAACACTGACCATCACTGTGCCTGATCTTCTTGATGCGGGTATCATTTTGCCAATGCGAGATGCTTCGATTGATTAGAGTCGTTAATATTACACCAATTTTCATGAGTACTCAACGCACGTTGGTCATGCTGCAACTGGTGCTCAACAATTTGAGATTGCCAAGTTTGTCTACTACATGAAACCGGCTTGACAATCATTGCGTAAAACCATACACACTGTCAGATTTTATAACCTGCTTTTATTCAGGCGGTTTGAAGATTCTTTTCAGTTTAAGAAAGTCGAACCTGAAATGTCTGTTGCATATGAGTATCATCAAACACGGCTCACTGAAGCTTGGCCGGAAAGAAGGGCACAAATCTATGGACAATGTTGATTGAAGCGATTCCTGCTAATCACTTGTGACATGAAGCTGTGATTTCAGCGGTGTCTTCGATGAAATTGATTCCCACCAATAAGGGGCTCGGTTGGCCACTGTGTTTAAATTATTATCTGGACGACCATCAATTGGTCCTACGATGATGGTGTATGGATGTGCTGCTTGGGCAGATATTCCCAAAGAGATCTCCCAATCGAAGCTATGCGATGCAAGTGTCCTCTGTGCTGTCAATGGATCAGACATAAATTAAAATGGATACAGAGCGCCAATTCTCGTAACAATTGTGTTGTTGTCCGCTTTCTTTCTACTTTTGATAAAATCAAATTTTCAATAGAAGTTCCATCATTTGCTTCTATTGAGTTAACAGATCCTTTTTGCCCTCAGAATTAAACCTATTCCTGCCGATTTTGCGAGGGAAATCAGTGCATTGTCCTCAACGACAAACATAATAAACAAACTGCTTTTCCTGCAGACGGCTGATCAAAAATGAATTCTTCACAGAAAATAATGAATATATTGACATCACCGCAGATGATGAAAAGAATAATGGGGGCAATCAAATTCAATGGGATATATTCAATTTCATGCATCAACTCGAAATAGTGATGCATTTGGTGAAGCCAACAATGGTGCTGAATCTCCGCAGGAGCAACTAATTGGAACCGAAAAATTTCGTGAGAAGGTTGCGAATTGCACCATGTACTTCAATGCTTTGAAAATGAATTGAGAGATACGGCGACAGGCAGGTCACCTCTGTCCTTTATGGCTACTGCACTTACTGCCGCTACCACTTTTAAACTGAATCCGGCGGTGCCATTCTGCTAAGTTGTTGGTCAGTCAGAGTTTGTCGAAAAGCTTGATAACAATTGATTTCATTTCGATCATCTCATAACTCGAGATATCCTGATGGCAAGTGCTGGCCGTTTACAATAAAGTCTGCGGCAGCAGTGAATGTTGCAAATGCTACACTCGTTGCTGAAAAATTACCTCATTTTATATTAGGTGATTACACTGATACATTTAGCCTTGTATCCAGGTATGAGAGTGTGAGGGGCCTCCGTGTTGTTGGACTATCAAACTCATTCAAAACTCATAAAAAGTAATGACAAGTGCTTTAATTGATGCTGAGATCGACGCTGAAATTCGTTTGAAAGAATTTCAGGGATGTGTGACTGCCGAATATTGTCTGAAGGTTTGGCGGTTGCACAAATTACGTTTGGCACGGACACAATCCTTTCGTTGGTGGCAGATAGACACTCTAAATGATCTTTAATTCAATGTTTCAAATCCCTTTAGATGAGCAAGGTGTGCCCTGTTTCTTTAAGAGGAACGCAAGTACTTGTTTTAAAGATCTTTGATGCAGTCTATCTTACCAAATTATCATTTGCGATGGTGATGGCAGGTAAATGCTTTTTCACCGAATTCTTCAATGACAAACATCTTGGAGTATTCCAACGTCGAGATTCCTCTCTGGATAGTCGCTACAGCAACGAACGAATTGACGCGTCAATGCAGAACCACCTCAGGCTGACGGTTTTACACTATGAAATAGACAATTAGCAGTCGCAGGATACAAAATCATTAATATCCCATTCACCATTGTCCATGAATCAGATGGCTTTTAGTTGGATGCTGAGCGTGCTTGCTTTAGAGATCAATTGTTCGATAAATGAATTATGGAGGAAATTCTTTACGGAGTGAAATTTGTTTTCTTGGTTGGTAAGGCAATCGAATTATTGGTGCGCCATGCAAAATGCACTAAAGTTGAGCTACAATGGTGCTAGGATGTTTGAGTCAGATTCAATATGTGGTGATGAGAAAGGAGTCGCGTCAGATTTCCCAGTTGAACACTCCGACAGTGATTTGGCCGCAGAAATTTTGAAACCAAAAATCAGATACATGTAATCTGTTTACGATTAATGACCAGCGACTTTGCTGAATCTCAAAAGGAGGACCCACAGCGGCTTGCTGATTTTGAACCGCAATATATTTCACACATTCAAGCAGTAGCAAATGCTGAGATCCCATTGCAGGTGTTGAAGTATGTCGGTCCAAATGCCGATATAGCCATTGTCTACCGCGCCAAGAACTTTGCTGTCAAGTGTGCTGATCATCCAGTCAATTTGAAACCCACCAGCCTTTATTCAATCACCTACCACTTTGTAGAAGAGTTGATCAAATTGGCTTTCACTTTGGCAAGAGTTTTTACTAAAGTTATAGATGCTCAAGTGAAATGAGGCGCATAGCGCATCTCCATGTAAACAAAGGAATGCATTGTTTTAATAATTCTACTGTTGAGGGTTCTGGATTGTTAGTAAAATTGATTTCTTTCGCTCTGCCCACTATTGGTGCCCCGATTTTTTTTTGACCATTCAACAGCATTGTTACTGATTTCTTTTAGGGACTGTGTGAATATCGTATTGAATAAAATTACAAGTTGCTTTTATCACAAGTTTTCATTTGAATTTGCACAACGATCACGTGAGCTTTGCAAACTTCTTTCAACTACAGTCGGTGTGATTCCTATTTAATTACTTAATATATTTATTCTTGTTTTGTTGTTGAACTAATTTAACCGTCTACTAGTGATGCTTGATCGGGGGTTAAGCAACATTGTAGTTTGCTAGCCAGCGAGCAGCCGACATAACGAACTACCCAAATAAGTTACTTGACACAGGAAACAAAACATTTGCCATTACTATTTGCTTGAGATGAGAGAAGACTCTTGTAGGCCAATGAGCATCGCACTATTTTGAAATCACCCACTTTCTTCCGAAAAGTAGTTTTTCTTTGAAGGCTATAGTTGGGATTTAACCGAGCTTAGAGTGCCCTTGAGTGGATGAGCTGTTTTCAGCTTCCCAGATGTGTAAATTGGAGGTTTTGGATTTGTTTCAGCACTGCTTGAGCGGCCCTGTGTTATTCAACTTGGTTTGCAGTAAAGGACAGCAGCGTGGAGTTCAACGTTCATTTTCACTACACAACTGTTTACCACAACATATTACCATGGATTTGCTACTTTAGAGGCAGGCGAAAATAGTTAGATCAATCAAAGTCTAGCTATTGAGCAACTGTTCGAATTTATTTTAAGACGTGCGCTAAAAACACAGCGTCGTTGATTGCTTCGGTGAGAAAAATGTATTCGATTTAACCGACAGCGAGACCATTGAAACATGCTTCATTAGTTTCAAATTACTAACGTTGGATCAACAAGGAACACGTAGCTACCAACTGATTTTTGATCACCAATGACTCCACCTTAATAACTGTCCGAGTATTGATGTCCGGCAACTGAGGAAGCGGCTGTGCATAGATAGATCATGGATCTGAGGTCAAATATTTTTGGATGCTTTCAGCAGAACGACGATGGATGCTGCATGGTGCGCCAAAATATCCACTGACTATCCCAAGAGCAAGAAGAAATTCAGGCCGTTAACAGATTGCAGGGTATAGTCACGACCTGACAATTATTCTTCAAAGTGATGACCCACAGCACGTAAGTCAAGGCTGCTGGTCTCAAATAACACTTTGAATTGAATCAATACAGTCCATGTAACCTTCAAATCGGAATTGTTTACTTTGAACCAGGAACGATCCCTCTGACGTCGCTGATCGTTCACACACCAATACAATCGATATCCCGAGCAGCATGAAGTTAATCACTCCATTTTCGGCCAATGCTTTTTAAATTGGAGCTGCTCGCAAAACATGGAGCATCTTTCAATGCAGAAAGCTGTTTGATGTAACTTTCAGCATCGAATTCATTGTTAGAGGTAAATGTACCGCCAATAATTTATGGCAATGTTTTTACCTTGATGAACAAAGAGCAAGAACGACCTTAACCGTTTCATACCTTAGTAGTGAAATGGAAATTCAGTATTATCATTTCCATGACACAAAGACACACCTTGAGCATTAGTCTGTGCACAACGGAATTGCCCGTTCGTGGAGAATTCATTGCTACCACCCAACCAGAACCAACAGGGCTTTTGCTTGAAAGCATATCAATCATCAAGTAAGTCATCTTATCCTGTATCGCTTGCAGATCTGAGTGCCAACCATTGTGTATATTTAGGCAGCAGCAGCACGTTTAACACTAGTAGCGGCAATAGAGGCAGCAGCCAAATATGTTTAAGGACTTCTGCCTTTAATGGTATTTCATAAATCGGCCTTAAACCATGTCAATATGCTCCAAATGTCTTTAGAGTCATTTTGTGCCACTAGGGTAGATGTAGTAAATTGCTTTAGTTGGGATTTAGCAAAACTTTTAGCATCACTGCCATAATCAATATCATTTGTAGATGGTACGAAATTCATTGAATTCAATGCTTTTCTATTCACAACACCTCCACCATCATCATCTGAGTTGATGTCAGTATATTCTTTACATGGATTGCAGAAATTGATTGATTTATTTTCCGCAGCAATTGCAGCTTTGCTAAGTTGTAGTTTGTATGTGGTTGACCGATTTCCTTCTATAGCTCCATCAGCAATGGCTTTAGCTCAAACGAGAAAAGGTGTTAATGAATTGATAAGGCAAAATGTTGGATCTTTCAAAGTAATATGGTTCAATCTTTGGGGTAACAAGAGATAACATCAAGCGAGTGCTAATAATGATTGTACGCTTTGTAGTCGTTTCTACTTATGGGGTGGCCCACAAACTCCCACTTGACACTTATATCACCTCACCCGATTTGGGTGATTTAATTCGCAATCAAGGAATAAGCCGCACATTCTCCCACGGTCTGCGTAGCGGCTGTTTATTTCTTCTTGTCAAGAGCTTGAAGGCCATAGTGAACGGCGCCCGATGCTTGGTGGAAATCACATTGATTGAAATCACTGCGCAAATCACCTCTTTATTCCACAGAAGCTCTGAATCAATGAATCTCGTAACCATTGTCCCGAGCATTGCCATAAATGCTTTTTTGACCACATTCAGCGACCCTTCTTTGACTGTGGTCTTAGGCAACTGACATTTCTTGTTGTAATTCTACAGTTTGACAGAATTCGCTCAACGACTTAGATGCTAGCTAATTGTCAAATGAGGCAGTATCATGCACCGTACCCAACAATGGGATGGTGCGTCTTACATCATATCCCAAACAGGCAGCAGCCACTGTTTGTGTAGCATTCGCTGCAACAGTAACAGATCTTGACTGATCGTCAACAGTGTACAAAAATGACGACTGTTACTAACGGCAATAACAAATCTGTGACCAACAATATACGCATGAACTAGAATAAAAAAGGCGGAGGCTGTTTTATAGACGACTTATCATTAGTTTTTGTCTTTTTCGTTTTGCAAGATGAGTGCCATGTTGGACCACCAGCAGCACAAATGCCATTGAACACGGCTATGTCGTTATCAGCAGACTCAGCAGGTTAACCAAATTAATGATGCCTCTTTTTACTAACTAACGCCACAGCGGAACGCCAAAGAAACATTCATATAATTTTGTTTTTGGTCTTCCACCAGACAAAGCACCAATGAACTGTCAGTAAACTTTTTTCAAAAAATATATCTCCGCTACGTTTCCGGAGCCGCATTAAAATTTGATTCCAGTCGTAGCTGCCCCAGACCGAGAATGTTACTATCCACCACTGAGTAGCATCGGTGGTCCAATTCTTTTAAGTTCAATGAAACTCTCACCAGTGGATGAATCTGATTTGAATTAAAAGTTTGGTCGCGGAACCAATGAGCGGTACCAGAAATATGCTAAGAATGAGCGGTGTCAATTTAATACCCTTTGATGTTCGAAGTCTGCTTGCAAACATTTAGGAAAAGAAACAGTGGACTTAAATTTAATATTAGATCATCCGTTTTAAATCACAAACGTGCTCAAATTAGTGTGCTGCTCCAACAATTTACGAAAAAGGGGTTATTCGTGCTAATGATGTTGATTCCAAATAATTTCCTAAACTTCTTTCGATTGTAACATCCTCGCAATTTCCACTTGGGAATCAGTTCCTGCTGTATAGGAACAACGGGATACCAATGGATGGTGAAGTTGTTAATAGATAGCGAACTGAGCAAAGAGTTATAGCACTATTGCTTTTGATGGAGGTATTATGAAGAGGATGTCACTTGATGGTGGAAAATGGAAAATTCATCATCTGATACGTTGGGTTGAAATAATTATTTAAATTCATTTTGTTCTAATAATTCGGTGATCTACATTGGTGATGAAATTGCTGGACGTTTTATGTTGCTTCAGATTCTGACAGCACCCACACTTCAATCGCTTTGCAAGATCAACTGTCATTCACATCATTATTTGTTTTTACTCAAATGATTTGGCCGGTGATTTTGATGATCAGACGTGCGCTGCAAGCAGAGGTACAGCATCGTTGGTCTAGGTGGAAGAAATATTATTTTACAAACGAGCACACAAATGTATAACTTGCTGCCTGTGGCGCAAAGAGTGTCATTTAGAAACCGAGACATTGGCACGACCGCCAACTCCTGTTGGACTATGGGACCAAAACAATTTTCTGGCCGCCGTAAGAGTGGTGGATGACAGAAAAGAAGATGCGATGGTGTTTCGGTGTTAGATAGAAACGACTGCCATTCCTACATTCTGCGAAAATATACATAATTGGACTGGTTTTCACCATCGTATTTTCTTCACGCTGATTCGTTCATAAACTTAACTTCTCAATGATATTGGATTGTTGATATTGATCACGCGATACCGAAATCTAACCGTGATGGTATTTTTCTAGCGTGGAAAGGCCCAATAATGCATAGAGCCAATATCTCTCCCGATGATGTAAAGGATATCAAAAGTTCGGCAGCTTCAATTAGCAGCGCATGAGTAACATTTGAAAGAAATTGTGTCCACTTCTTAGATAGAATTGCGTGAGAAAGTGCGCCTTCAAAATTATATTAATAAATTGTCGTTTCATCTGGGGTGGCATTGCTGTTATTTGAATCCACTCTAATATATAACGTTCAAAGTGTATCACAAAATAGAGAAATCTTCAGTGGAACAGCAGCCTTCGTCATATGAAAGTGCGTATGGTCACAAAGCCCCTCAAAAATTGTGCGCCACGACATGCCTTAAGATCGTATGAGAACATCTGCCAGGTCGCGACGGCACCCCTTCTTCGACGAAGTGAACCTCAAACGATTTGGTAAACGCAGCTGAAACTTCTCCGGTAGGTGCAAACAGCGTGTGACGTAGCGCGAGAAGTTGCAAGAAATGAGTGCAAAAGCTGCTCTGAAAGAAACTACTCATGGCGCGGGGTAACGCTTTCAACTCTGAACTACGCCGTTTCAAAAAAAAGCGTTGAGGGATCACTAAAATTGGTGTTCTGCAAGCAGCGGCATCTGCGTGAACTCGCATGCATCAAGAAGCCCTTCATCAAAAAATGGACGCTGTTATATTTTTTTGGTGTATCATCACTTATAGTCGGCCACTTCGATAAGTTTGCGGTCATTTCGTTGGCGAGCACGGATTATTCTCAAAAGACTAATTTTGCTCCAATGATTAAATCTCTGAACGATTCAATTTTGAAGAACCGTAAATCATGATGAAATTAAAACCGAAACGAATCAAATGCTATCGCCAATGTTTAGAAATAGCAATGAAGAATTTTTTTTGTACTAAAAGTACACCAAATATAAACGCAAATTCTGAGCATACTTGAGATAACGAGAAATCGTTGAACTGGCACATTTCTAATGACAGCGTCGCTGAATCATCAAATATTCAAAAAAATACTATCAGTCGCCTTGACTAAAAAAGATGTTCACCACAGAAGCTGAACCTTTCAAAGTAAGGTGATTTTCGGGTTTTGTTGCGATATTTAACTGCAGGTGCTGCACGTAGCTAATTCAACATCCCGCCATCATTACTTTTAGAGTCCATTATTTCGCAAATAAATTGCCACATTGGATGACCCACTAATGGAATGATGCCTCCAAGAAATATTTTTGCGGTAGCTGCGGCGGGTGGGATGGCGTATGAAATGTCAGCTCATGTTTGCTTCGAATAGATAATTTGGTTTGACGTGTCTCAGCCAATGAATTTACGCATCACAATTTGAATCCCAGTGTCGATCACCTCCTTGGCAAGTGAAATGTTGTTCTCTTCGAAAGTGTGTAATCCATGTTGGCAGTACTCATTTCTGTTAAGGGTAACTTGCTTTCATTTGACTGGAAACAGATATCCATTAATTGATTCTCGATCTGGAGTTCTCCAGCCGAATCAATCGAACAGCACGTTACTAACTTGTCACACGAAGTAGCATCGTAAAGAACAGTTAATTGGTTAAAGTTTACTGTTTTCGGATGCTCTTTGGCCGCTCTTGGAATCCTCTTGTACGGTCCACCATGCGTTCAACTGGGCAACGTAACAGCAAACGCCGTACTTTTCCCGAAGCAACTTGCTTCAATATACCACAAAAAAAATATTGATTGGCGAATTGATTTTTGGTCTGCATTCAGTTCGAAAATAGGTGGTCTATCAATTATATCCCATAAATGTAACCTAACTTGTGCAGCTTGCAAATTTGACTCTCACTTCTGAGGTGTTGAAATTTCCTCTTTATTTAGATCTTCATAGAGGGCGCAAAAGTTTTGTTACTTTTAGCAGTATCAGATCACAGAGATGCCCCGGAATTATCCCGGCTATGCTTTCTATGAGCATTAAGAGAAGAGATGAAACTACTTTCTTCACCATTGAATTTGAGCATGCGGCATTAGTCAGATGATTCACTTATAGATTTCCTGTGCAGTGGTGTTTCTAGTAGAAAAGAGAGCACTCCAACTAGTTCCGCTGCCCCTCTACCAAAGCATTCAAATTCAAAATCATTTGCATCTTTTTGCACCAACAAAACCACTAATTTTGGACACAATACCTTCATTATAGAATCTGGCCAACAGTTAGAGGATAATGAGCATTATCACCGATAATACATTGTCTTGCGGAAATGTCACTACGGATATGATGATCCAGAAAAGCAGGAAGTCCTATACATTTATTGATGCATGATTTTGTTTGAGAACGCAGGTCGAAACACCTTTCAACACATTCATACCATACAGGTGAAATTGATCATCTTGGCTACCCATCGTTTTCAGGCTGAGGGAAACCTTGAAGAGCAAGCGTGGTCTTTGGTCAACCCTCCGTTGTTGGAGAATTCACTTTCATCAGCGGAAAACAACAAACAGCTTCACCTTCGTCATTTCATTCAACTAGGAGGTAGCTGTGTATATCAAGTACTCCCTGATGATCTTACTGGCATGCAAAATTCAAAAATGAGTCTAAAGAATTCGACTTATTAATAGCAGCGGCAACTAATTCAGCAGCCAAATATGACCGAAATGATCTATCTTTGATGCTCACCGTCCAATCATATCAGTCCCTTGAAGTACGTCCTTATTCTCATCTAGATGTTGCATGGCAGCCGAAGTGGAACCGGCATGGTGGTCGATAGTGAAATGCGCACCAGTTAGCGCATCACCAATCTTATGCGTAGTATCTATGCATTGATGTGATTCACTTCAATTTAACTTATTCGATTAAACCAAAACTTGGCCTTATCATTTGAGGATATGCATTTATAATAATCATCTTCAGGGAGTGTCTACTGCAGTTATTACTTGAAGCCCGGCCAAAATTATTTGTGAGACTCCTTAGCTACTATATTTCTCTCATTGTCAGCAGTGTGCCGACTCTCGGAAGAGCACCTGGTTCAATTCGTTCCACTTCAACACCCGAGGCAGATGATATTTTAATGAAGCAAAGAAAATATTTTGAAAAGACAATTTACTCTCCTTGAAGGGACATGATGAACGGAGAGCATCAGAACTGCCATGGGAGTCAAACATTTCGGATGGTTATCGTATCATGTGGTAAACTAGAAGAAGCAGGCGACAGTAGTGTTGCCTGACTTGGTTTACCAGATCAGATTAGCATTCAAGGACTACGCCGCAGTCGCCAAACGCAACCGCATATCCGCACTTAATTTTCCTTCATTTGATAGATGAATTATAGTAGTGAAAAACCGACCTTGTATCGTGAGAATCACATTCAGCAACGGAAGTGCGTATCACAGCGTCATTTGCCACACAATCTGTGTCATTGTCTTGAATTGTCATTACCTTAGCTATTTCATGATTGCCATTTGCAATCGTATTGCTGCCCCAGTTTGTTGAAACGCGTACAAAACACAATTTCAGCGCATGGTACGATCAGTGGGGTTGAAAGCATCCAGTTACTTAGAAAAAAAATTATTTCTAAAACCAGCATCTTCACCGTGCAAACAATCAATTGGTGAGTAAACTTGACCTAATATACAGTGCCAGCAACAGTCGAAGAACATTTGACAATTGTGAGGACCACAACTAACATTTAACAATGATCTTCAATGGCAAGAAAATTTGATTTTTTACCCACAGCAACAAATGGCATTTACCCGACAATTCTAACGAGTGCTACTCAAAAATCAGTAGCGGCCTAATTAGTTCGTAGCCCATTAATATGTGTGGTCTTGCTACCTTTCTTTCAAGGCTAATCCAGTGACGCTGCAGCAACCTGAATGCCGTTGAAAAAGCTATATTATTATCGGCGTGTCACAACACACTGCTAGTTGTGCATTCCAAGTTGAACTCATATATGGTACTTGAAAACAACCCGCATCACATTCATACGACTCGGATGCTGTTTTTTTACTGGCCAAAACAGCACTCAGGCGGGCAAAATGATCTTTCAATGAAAAGAGCGCTTTACCTTTAGGTTGAATTTAAGATAATGCTTGCGGCATTGGGAAATGAGATATTATATTATAAAGATCATCTATTGATAAATTTGCCACGGTCAATTCCATGTCCTTAATCAAAATTGCCTTCAATATCGGCAATGACAATATTATCGAAAGTTAGTAGGCTGAGCTAAGTTGTGGCAATTCGATGATAATGTAGAATAGTAAAAAAATAAATGAAGCAAAAAAGCCTAAAAGGCTTAGAAACCTTCTGTGGTAAGAAACTGCGTCAGATACGAGGGAGTCACAGGAGCGCACTGCATATACATAGCGGGTGACGGAATGCCATGATCCTCCCAGACAAACAGTGCAATGAGTTGGAATCGTCACCAAGGGCGTTCAAAAGAAAACAAAATGCAATGCTAAAAATGGGTCCTTTTAACCACTGCCAAGTGCGCGGCAGTGGAAAGGCTCTTCTAACTGATCAACCAACAATTCATAAAGAAATGTTATTCTTTACTAGTGAAGATCTGTACATCTCACGTACATCAACCGCTAATGATATTTTATTGCCTAGTCAAATCAAACACTAGGCACAATAATAATGCAATAAAACAATTTTTGATCAAAACGAAAATAATTGCTGTGACGAAAAGATACCGGTAATTCCATCAAGTTGTAAAAGCTCTAGAAACACATTCTTGACAGTCAGTAAAATAGATCTACAATAATATTGTATCATTGTCCAATTGAAATTAACCATATAATAATAATCAGATGAAACCAAACCGACGTATTCAGCAAATTCAGAACAAACACTAACGAAATCTTCGAAACAATTTTTTGCAATTTACGAAAACTGCTGTGTTTAGCGCCTTGCGAAACATATTGGCAGCGGTACTATTTCCATCATTTCTTGGAAAGAAAAAAGTAACATTGCGCAGCTTCCTTATAAAACGGGACCTGATTGAAATATTCTTAGACAAATTCGTAATAGAATTGGTGGCGGTTTAATATTGACAGAACTCTGATTTTCAACCACCGGTGGCAAAAGTTGTTGTGATTTTTGGTACATCTACAGTCATAGAGTCTGCGCGATCACCTTATTTGTAATTCAAATTTTTGAAGATGAACCCATCAAGCAACGGGGCATCAGCACTCCTAAAGATTGATGAAACAGCTTTCTTACCAGCTGAAACACCATTCAAATAATGATAATCACTGATAATAATAGTCAAAGCGGTGAATTTCCAGTAATTGAACTTTGTACGAATGGTGAACCAAAGGCGCACAAAGAATATGTCGGTTAAATCCACGAATCTGGATCAACTCGTTATTAATAGTTTTCATAATTTTTAAAGTGGTACCAGTACCAGCAATCCGAACTGAATGAGGAGTTAGGTTGCGCATCAAATCGGCGAATACAGCTTGGTGTTTGAAAGCACTAACGTTACAATAGCATCCTTTAAAAGTGTTCGTCTGCTCGCAAGCTACTTTCAAAAACGAAGCAAACAACGTAAATGCAACCATTACCACATCGAAGTTGATTCCAGCAAGTACATCATCTTAATCTTATTGCTAACCAAGTAATGCCCGTGGTAATGAATCTACACTTCCCAATTGTCTGTTTTTGAGACAACGATAGAATCTCTTGTTTTTGTTCCTTGGGTGATTGGGATAAATCCTTACCAGTGGAAGCAAACTCCGTTTAACCTCTTTTTCCAGCAATTACATGCACACCAAGATCATTCGCCGAAAGATTCGCATCAGTAATATCAAAAATATGAAGAAGATCTATTTGAGGGTAATCTTCTCCGCCTGATTTACAAGTATAAATCTAGTAGTACAAACAATAGCCACAACTTAATCATCAATGCATCGCACGTTTTTCAATACAGCACAAACTAATCAACCGGCAACCAACGGATTGCAAATGACATCCAACGCAACCTTAAGCTGTATTCAATGCAGATTGCCAACCAAAATATTAATCATCGTGATATCAACAGGAACCAACAGTTCCAACCGGGTCAGATTGAAATTCGAATATGGCCCAGCATATAATGTTAGCAGCATCCTTTGCTATCTGAAATATTTTGCAGCAAATAAATGGAATTTGGCCCTTTACCGGTTGTAGCGAATCTGATTCAATTTTGTAGGGAAATGAATTATATAATACCCAATGAGTTAGAAATTATCACCAGCCTCTTTCTATCCAAGATGGATAGACGCACGGCGTCACAGCTGCAACCCCAAGACCGATACCCAAGGACCGAATGCAGATCTCTTGAAAAGCATCATCAATATGGACTGTCGTTCGGTGTTGGTAATAGGGTCTGCATAAAGTGGGGATTTTGCAAAACCACTCAAGTTACCCAAACATTTAATGCGCCTGATGATATTGATTGCAGTGGAACAACAGGAGAAGTCATTTCGTATGAAAAACTGACAGTAGTTATAATTGTTGCACTACAGAAGTCAATCAAGATCTTCTTATGGTGAGGGACTGCTGTATCTCGTGGGGATATGGACCATGAGAGAAGCATGAAAAACCAGGCATCCTTAACGAGTGCTGTGGATTCGGAGAAGAAGTGCAAGATAAAAAAATTAATTTACGGCTTGAACGAATCTCGGTTTCGATGGTTTAGAAAAAGGCTTGCTGATCGTGGACTGATTTGGTTTCCAAGAGTCTCAGCTGATTTAACTGTGCTTGACTTTGAAGGATCACACACCCGTGCATGTTATTTTTTATTGTGGATAAACATCTTTTTGCCAAATCATCAGATTTAATTGACATGCAGCCCTAACTGTACATCTTATTGTAGATCAAAATGATTGACCGTCGTTAGGACCGAGGCTGACTTTTCAGACCAATGGCGGTCAAAATGTCGAAGGTATTGCTATGCCTACAACGACCTACAACAGGTTGGGCAGCTCAGCAGATACAACTGCGTGGGACTTTTGTGCGAGTTCCTGCAATTCTGAAACTTTTTTGAAACATGCGACTTAGACCTAATGACTTTCAATTGGATGCCAGAAAGTCAGCACTTTTCAGATCGACAATTCTGTCCTTGAGCTACTCTACCCATCTTGCACGGTTTGATATTCCATTTGATGTTAGATAACACTCAATTATAAATGTAGATTATGCGAAGTCTCTGGATAATTGTGCGAAAATGTTCCTAAGATATTACAACCGGAATCCAGCTGTTCTTCATTGCATAACGGCATTTTCACTTAAGTTAAGGGGGACACGAACCAAGTAAAAGGACCAGAGAAAGTGTAGATCAACAATCCGTCAGTGGATATCCGCTGCAACTTAATCAAGCAGCTGCCATATCAATTTCCAAGGAGCGGACCTTAGTCGACTTTTTGACTTTTTGATCAGAGTATGATTGACAATCTCTGTGAATCAAAGAAGCCGTGTGTTTAATCTACGTATTTATCTATATTGATATAACTACCAAACACCCCATTATATGCTGCCAATAAAATGTAGCAATAAAGATGTCAAAGCGAACTATTAGTAACATTTACTTACACTATACTTCCATCCTAATTAATTTGTGAAACAATCATTGTTTGTTTCTTTCACTACGGCAACGGAAAACACCAAAAAGTATCCAGTTGAAATGTTTACTAAAGACCTGACGGCAGATATCTTCAACTACCTCAAGACGTCATATAAATGCTTCCAATGTTGATGATTGCTTTTTGATTGGTTATTTTGGATGCGCGATATAAAGATAATTGTTCATTCCGATCTGCCGCTGCTGTTACTACAATATTGTTTCACCAGTTTTGACTAACAGTTGTGTTACTACGTCTAATATGGTTTGCATTGAAAGTACCAGTTGACTGAATGTACCGTCGTTGAATCACTACTGAAAAATTAACATGCAGTTGCATCCACATTTAATTTGATTTTTGAGGTATTTCGATACTCACTTACCTACATCAACGGTAAGTTATATTCAGGACTGCATGATTGCAGCCAGAACGGCACTTTGGAAATATGGGTAATCTCCAACACACGTGGGGGTGAACTAACTACGATACGAAGTACATCCCCGAAACCGCAAAATTGCTTATTATGACAGCGTTATGGATGGAAAAGTTGTAAGAAAACTATTAGTGAACTGATCGTTCCGAATTTTAATGTCGTAGGCTGTCCTTTGACAGAGATCGTTCTTTTTAGAAGGCTCCGCTTAGTACTCAGGCCCACCGTTGTACGCCGGTTGGGCGATCCTGGAATCCCAAAGTGGCCCTGACAGCTGGAACCGGTCGGCCAACCAACTTAACAGTTGGCAAGACCTCTCATATGCTGATCTAGGTTGTCCATACCGTTTGGTGTAAGTCTCTGTTGTTGCAACGAATGATTCGCGTGAGCCGGATGTCTATTGTTGATCCTGCTCTATGTGATTTCCGTCTGCTTTTGTAAAACTCTGTGAGCTAGCCCAGCATCATATAAATGGGACTTGCAGTTTATTTTACGTCCTTTCGTACGTATTAACATCCCACAATAAGTTGTGGGGCATTCTTTTGATCAGTGAAAAGCTGTAAAACAACAGTGAGGACAGCAGCCAGAACAATCACTAGTGAGGCTATTGCTATTCAATACTTGGGATATGAAAACGCTATAAAAGTATTGTTTTTATGTAATTTGATTACAACTGTACGAATTTCTCGGATCACGGATTTTTCAGCATTAATCTATAACCAAAATTGAGAAGGTTCTACGCAGATGGCTTTTGAATGCGGCGCTGATGCAATGATTCCTGACGGGTTGAAACAAACATTGTAAAAAATGCAAGTCCTCTGTGAGGACAAGTCCGTTGCATCATTAACAGAAATTTTTACAAAGTGGACATTGTTTGCAATGGACGGACAGTTCTCAATTCTTTAAGTAGCTTTGACGCAACTAATTCTCCAGCGGAAGATTCTGTTTTTACTGCCGTTCAACAAAAGTGTCCATCTGCTGTTTCAGTTTGCCTAATTGCTTTTGCTGCATTTCGAGAGTATCGGTCAACTGCCTACAATCACAAAAATGCAGCAAGAGAAGCATCTCTGGTATACCGCGACAGAATTGGAGCTATATTAAAATATTGTAATAACGGGAATGACGAATACTGCTTTCAGTTCATTCTATGATGTCATAGTGGTGGTAAAACCCAGGCGGCTCAATTGAAATGAATATTGTGCAGATGCTCATGATGGTCATGAAGACGGTGAACCTCTCCCTTATTCTGTATCAGATCTGAATCATCGTGCTGCTACCAACCGCATTCGTGAGAAAAATCTTGATTAGATTAATCTATGACTTTACTGGATTAAACTTCATTAACAAAATTGCACTAAACTCAGTTCACGTTTCATTAATTTGTATCTGGTTTGTTACCGCTGCTACTCTAAAGACAACTTCTTCAAACAATGTTCGAATCCTTAACTGCCACTTCGAACTTTTGCAAACGGATATTTGCTTTATCTCGCTGTTTAACAATCTACTACTTGCAAAAAAGGCAATTGGCCATTGTATGGTGTTCAAAAATCAAACTGCTCCTGCTGACCCATTTTCAAAAGCAGGACTAGCTGCTCATCGTTTTACTCTGGGTGAAATTGTTGATTAAACCGAATCATTTATTCAAATGACGAGATGTAAATATCTGACTCCCCACTTTGTTTTGGACCGAACATAATTGATTTTGCATGTTGATAATGATATAATTACCAGTTCTCATCATCGGGATTTTGACGCAGTTCTGACGGATTTACGTATCCCGATTGGGCTACTCCTTGTCTGCGACACATCTGCTCCATGTCGCATTGCGATGCAACCCAGTTCACTATAAAAGGGGCTGGCGATCCATTCTCCGCTTGTCGATCTTACATACTACATTAATATAATGTATTATCATTGATCGGCTGCAACTGGATTTAAGCCAAAATGCGTATGTTCGCATGGAAGAATCACAGAAACAAATGAATGCTGCTAAGTTTGCAACTTTGGTTTTCCACTGGCATCTCAAAGCTGCTCTCTCTGGTCCCTTGTTCCAAGGATTTATCAAAAGTCGTGTCGTTATTGAAGATGATGGTGATGCGGACAAAGTTAAAGATAAGTTCGATTCCATTTGCCATAGGATGGTCATTGCGGATTAGTTCCTACAAAACTGGATAAATTGTTATGAAATGAATTCTACGTCCGTCAAGCATCATTTAACTTGCGGAAGCTTTACGGTACGATTGGAGAGGAGGCTACTCTAGTTATGAACAGGTTTTCCAGTTCTGGAAAACTACCAAAACATTATTTAGTACAAGGCATTGCGATACGTTCATGAATGGATTCTATTTCAGTACAATCAATATTTTATTTGCTAATCAAGTTCCCGCCTTTTTCTTTGCTGCTTCATCTTCTGATGCCAGCTCCGCTGAATGGCGTCTTACACAACCCACAGAATTTCACAAAATCTCATATCGTGACGCAACGGGTTTTGCCAATCTTCTTGATTCTGATGCATTTACTAGTGGCTCTGGTTTAACAACGTCGGTCTTTGTTATTAACGATCCTTTTAACCAGCCAAACCGATAAAAACCGACAAGCTAACATTCTCCTAAACCTGGAGAATTGGAGGGTAAGCGTTTGGCACAACGGCTAGATCCTCTTTTATTATCTACTATAAGCAATGCTTCCGCTGTTGTTGCTTGTTTTGAAGGACCAAAAGGTCATCAGTCGCTGTTTGCTTACTCTGTAAATGAAATAACAAGCGGGTGTTGATCCCTAAATTATTTTACATTGATTCTGGTGCTTCACATCATGGTTTTGATAACGTTGATCGGTTCAGCAACTTCACCCTTCTTTGATATTGGTTATCTGGAATTGGTGACACTATCCTTACTGTCAAAATGGTTCGTACTTTGACGCCGCTGATTGACGAATCATTTCAAAATGGTGTTGACGCTCCCCACATTGAAAAATTCATTTCAATTTGAGCTGCTACTATTAAAAGGGCCTGGTTCTCTTTGCAAAAACGATAGTGTTCAATTTGAATACTGCATTAGCTGTTAAGGGAGTTGCTTCAGCATTACATCGTTCATCCTAGCCGTAATCTTCAATGGCTCTATTGGCTGCAAGTTAGCATGAGCATTTAGGTCACGTAGGAATCATTGATGAGATAGAGATATCACAATCTCTGTGACTTCCGCTGCTGGTCTTTAGATGTGTGACTATTGTCAGACGGGAGTAGCGACCATAATATTAAGAACACTTTTCCAGGCAGGTAACCGCTGCTTTTCGATTTCTTCAACAAGACGTTGTGGGGCCAAAGCCAGCTGCTGCTCTTAATAAAAGCCGCTTCGGTCTCAACACTGTTGATCATTACTCCAAATATGTCATTGTTGCTACCATTGGTACTCAATATCGGCTGGTGACTGGTTGCAGTTTAATATTAAATTTACTCAACCACCATTGGATAAAACAGTTCATACTGTCAGATCAACTGTCGAGATCTCATCCAATCTGCTCTAGAATTTGCGTCGACCCCAAGATATCGAACAAGATATTTCACTTCCCAAAGAGTCTGTTCAAAATGTTGTGGCCGAACGTTGGCAAAAATCAGTCATGACAAAGGTTGGGACAAAGATAATTGAAGGATATGCCCATGACTACTTGTTAAATAAAGCGGTGATGTTTGCAGTGATTTTGACGATTTGCATTCTCACTAAACGTGGCACTCTATGCAGAAGATTTTTTGAATTATGGTACACATGGAATTCAACCACTGCTATGTTCGCCGTGTTTGGATGTAGTGCCTACGCCTTGATCTTCCAAAATGACAGGCAAACCAAATTAGGTAAAACATGTGATGTTTAGGATTTTGAAGGCTACGACAGAAGTATAATAGTCTCCCGACGTATTTTTCAGAAGAAAACGGTGTTCTTGTCATTTTATCTTGTCGCCTTAATGAAACCAAATTTCATTTAACTATCAATGGTTTGCTGCTATTGAACCAAGAAATCCATTTGAAGTTGCATTGAGATATATTGCTGTTTCTGTTATTGGAGGAATCTCAGAGGCGCTATCTACGACAATGGTAAGACAGTTTGAACTGTTTCACACAATACATCAAAATGTGACTTCAATCAGCTTGATCGATATATTGATATCAGCTCAAATGATTTTCAAAAAGACGCACTCCAACCCAATGAATCGCAATGAGAGAACTCTGCTGCATCTATAAATGCCGTTTCTAACGCCGTTGACATTATTGTTGAGGCGAATCCATGATGATATATTGAGGAAAAAAAAGAATACTCAAAACCAGAAAAGGAAAATCAAATCACCAGCCATTTCAAGAGTGGACGGAGTCAAATCACGGAGCCACAAGGAGGGAGATGGGTGACTGAGACAGATCAACCGAATCTCACAAACTAGATAGACTAAATCCGCATCCCCGATTACTGTGATGAGACGTTGGAACATCAAGACAATGAGGTCAATCTTTTGAGGGAGCCTGAGAACGCCTATTGCCTCTGCCCGAGCAGTTGCCAGGTTGAAGCGGAAAACACAGTCTTCACAGATCTGCTGAAAGTGTAGTTGAGTGGCTTTCAATGCGAACCTTGGGCAACAAAAAAGAAATTATTTGGCAACGAGAAAAATCGGTGTATCTCAAATACAGGGGGGTGCGTTGCACTAAAAACGTACATTTAATTGTCCAATCAACGTGGCACTAAAGTTTCTATTGCAATAAACGTCAAGAGCGTTAGCCGGCCATTTCGGTTGTCAATCCGTTGGTTGTGGAAAATCCATTTATCTAAACGATTGCTCTGCCACAAATACAGACTGCTAGTTAACATGAAATGGTAATCGACAATAAAATAATGAAACAATCAAAGAAAACTAAACTCAAACCCAAAAGCAAGAGCTTTATAATACCAACTTGAACTTTTTGAAGATGAAAGAAATACCAAGGAAAACTATAATCAGCTCACTGTCGAATAGACAATATTTCTACAGTCAATGGGAGAAATGTCAAAGACTACCGACTCAAAACCAAAAAGATATCCAACGACCAATGATAATCACATATAACCAAAACGGCGTGAACAACAAAACCAAAACTATCAACAATGGATTGGTTCTACCATTTCATTCAGATATTTTTGTAATGAAGAGTTAATGGCATTGAATTTAAATATCTTGACGCTTTTTAGCTCAAGCTAAAAGCATCTAGCATGGTGCGGCAAGATATAGACTGGGTAACAGAACAGCATACGTAATATCATATCGGAAGCAACTCACAGCGAAAAGCAATGATCAAACAGTTGACTGCTAAATTGATGATTGGTTAGCATTTAGCCGAAATCCAACAACTTTGAGCAGCATTTTGTATGGCTAATGATCTTTGATGTAGCATGCGAATGAGACTCATTTATTTTAAATTGTTCAACAATTATATTTGGGTAGGTTGCCATAGATACTGAGATACCATTGTTGGAGTGAGCAACATCCGGTCCGAGAAAACCACCCAGAAATACCGAATGAATGTAAATTTCATGAACGATCATTAAAATGATTTGACCAACATCACCACTGCATCTGATGTCTTTTTCATGATGATATCATCCTCTGATGAATCAAACATCAAGTGGAATTTGATTTTAAAAACATTAAGAATACGATTTACAGCTAATAGACATTGAAAGCCACGTCATCGCAAAGGATTAATCATTTTGTTGTACCAACAAAGATGCGATGATTTCAGTTGATGAGCTGATTTTGAAATTTGCTAACTCTCACAGAATAGTCAGCAATAGATAATGCAAGACGTTGTTTCATGTAAAACTGAAGCTCGATGCCACCAGAAGGAACGAAGTTGTCAAATTCATAAGAAGAGCTACGATGACTTTGATGCTTCTACAGCAAGAAATACTCTAAGACTTTCATTCCTTATTAGTGGGTAAATTGCTCAAATATAATCAACACCTTCAATCTGAGATAACAATTTGGCAACTACTTTGCCTGTAGGAAAAGAATTAGTTGGTACTAACTTCATTGTAACCATCTAAGGACGGCAAACATTGTAATATCCGGAGAGATGATCTAGCAACTGCAATGTAGTATTGTCACGTATTGCTTTAAGCTATGAGTGACATGCATCTTTTCACATTTCGTATCCATGAAATGGTTTTACAGTAGTGGCGGCAATAAGAGAAACAGCGAAATATCTCAGAGGAGACCTGCGTCCAATAATATCAGTTAAATGATTTGTGAGCTATTTAACTACTTTGAGAATATATTTAATGACTGTTGAAGGACATTATCGGTTCCTGGAAGCTAGTCTATATCAGCTTCAGCACCAGTGTTGGCATCATTGATTTCATAATTATACTTAGTGGTTTTAACAGATTTCTTTGAATACAACATATTTTGATTGAGACCATCTTTCTCTTTATCGTCTGAACGGATTGCACTTGTTATCTTTGTCGTTGATAGCAGTTAATAGATCACCTTTCATAATAGTGGCAGCAGTAGATGTAACCTTAAGGGAGGATAAAACGGTTGTGTTAACGTCAGCAGATGATCAATCTTAAAAATAAGACTTCGATTTATCAAAGTAACAAGATCAGCTGCGAAGAACACGGCACTGATGAGGATTGGAGAGTCATTATCGATTAAACTTATGTCGTGGACAACAAATGCACAGAGCATAGCTCTATCCCCTGACTTGGATTGCGTGATTTGTTAGGGGATCATGTCGTAGGCAGCATATGGAAGCATCGTCCACAAACCAGCTGGTAATCTTCTCCATGAAATAATTCAAAGGGAGTTTTGAAAGGAGCACTTTGTCTGGTGGGAATCACATTCGTCAAGAACACGGCGCACATCACAACTCTATCCAAGGAATAATCAAGAACATTAGCCTTGTATAAGATTGCCCTGGCTTCTGTCACCATTGCTTTTTGCCAACATTAATGGTCCCCATTTTGATGAGACTGATATGGAACTGACATTGCATTTCTTATTTGTTTATAAAGGCTAACATCTTTTAACAGCTAGGATGAAAATTAGTTATCAAATCTGACAGAATGAACAGTGCCATTCAATGGCCGATGAGTAATTCTTTCGTTGTTTTTTATCGAACATTTGCTAAAAGCCCACTGTGTCGGGGCTTTTCCACGGTGTTGATCTTTATATCGACATATTAAAAAATCGATGCTCTTTTTTGCAATTTTACCGTAGATGCGAGGAAACCCAGTAATTAAGAAGAAAACTGAAATGAAAGACAGGAGTGTGAAATCGAAGATGATATGTCCTTGTATCATATTACTTTGCCAATTGCAATGAGTGGAATATAAACAAGATGAGTTTTGCTATGCCCCATTTTGTCCCTAGATATTTGTGAGTTATTTGCGGACTCACCTCCTCATAGAAAATCGTTTGTATCTTTGAACGAATGTTAGACTGTTGATTTATAAGGTATTGAACAATATAATGAATTATCGTCGGTTCTAAGAAAGAACATTTCCATCGGTTGCTGGTCATATACCAGGCCCTCCACTGAGTCTCTTCACCAAAATGGTGTCCGGTGCCAAGGTGAACCACCGCGCTCACCTCCTCTTTGGTGCTGTGTGATAAGATTGTAAATGTGGGTACTCCCTTATTTAATAGTGGGATGATGAACCTGACGATTACTTCATGATAGTGCGAATTATAATTATAATTGTGAAATATGTTATTGCAATGCTGGATCAGCGATTTGTCGAGGGCCGTTTTGATAGTGCTGAATGTAGAAACTGGATTGGTTCTGTCACTATCACCACATCTGTGGAGATACGCTATGATTTTATATACTAAGATTACTCGCCTCATGAATACCGAATGATCAAGCTCTGGATGGAGTGGTCTTTCATGCTTATTTCGATTATTATTTTTTGCCATCGAAGAAATTGGCTTTCGGTTTCTGAAGGTATGTATAGCAGAATCAGCAGTTCATATGATTCATATTTGTTTACTGTAGATCTAGTTGACATAAATACACCGGGTATTTTCAAGAGAACAAGATTCTGTTGGATACTGAGCTTTTCGATGAATTTTGAATATTTAGCCAAAGTGCTTTTGCTGAATGAAAATCACCAATAGCGTAATATGGATCTTGCACATGAACTACAAAGATATCTTAGTGATGGAGGGATTAGACCGCCATGGATAAGCGCTATTGGTATTAACGCGACAACTGCTAAGGTGAACATTTTAACTGTATTTCTCTCCATGTATCCATTTTTAGGTTTTCTTTGATTATCACTGCTACGAATTTGATCGTTTTAGTTGGACTAACGTTGGCACAGAAATTAACTGTATGAGGGTTTTCAATTGTCGTGATTTAATCACTTTAGACTGACCATAGAAATGTATTAATTGAATTCTTTGGCTGGTGTCAAAATTTTTGCTGTGAAAGGAAGACATGGAATGACATTGTTAATTCCTTTCAGCAGTTTGCTTTCATTGTCATTTAGTCCGGCAATGGAGTGGATGAATATATCATCTACGTATCCAATTGATTATACCTTTTCTCTTCCTAGATACTTGAATACTCCATTGGAGTATAATAAATATATAATTGGTGAAAGAGGCAAACGCTGACCAATCACTTGACTGTTGCGGTAGCCTTGGAGATGCGGCTGTTAATGCTGAAGTGCCCTACGCTGTCTGAGTTGACTAATTGAATATTTTGATGATCTTAAGCGATATTTTGTCTGATACCAATGGCTATGCTAATTGGTGATGATGGACGAGATCAAAAGCACCTTTAACATCTAAGATGGCACTTGAATGTACATTCATATTTTTCGAGTTGAGAGTAATTTTGGCCTGATTGTATATATACGCAATGGGGTCTGTGGCACGATATGCCTTAGTCCGACCAAACCGAAATCTATCTAGATAACGTATTGCAAATTCGTTAAATCGTTCCTTTATTAGTCTTTGAAAGATTTTGGAAATATGATTTCGTTAACTGATTGCACAAAATGGGTTTGAAATGTGGTATCTGTGTTTATGTGGATTGCATATAAGAATTTTTTCAGTTGTTTAAAGCATTTGGGGAGGTATCCAAACCAAACAATTTCATTGTATATTTTATGAAGTATTTTGAAAAAGCGATAGTATTCACGAAGTCGTTCTAAAAATTTTATCTGAATTCCGTCAGAGCCAGGCGCCATATTGCCTAATACGTTTGCTGAATGCGTATCGAATTTCATTTGCGGTAAACATTTTGACTTTGATATGATCGTCATTAATTAGATTGTCGTTGTTTGACAAATCTTTGCAATACTGCTCATAAAACATTTGACAATGAGTAAGGAATGGTTGAATTAGCACTCAAACTGGTCTTATTGGATTGGAAGATTTCATTAATTTGCAAATATGAATATTTTGAGTTCTCAGTGCGTAATTCTTCGAACATTCAGAAGTTTTCTTTGAACTGCTTTTTGGAACTGCTTTTTGAGATGATAGAAAGATTTTTCGTGATTTGCAATTGGCCATGCAAGATGATCATCTTGACTTCAACTAGGATGTTTATAGGGTTTACATTGTTCAGTATCCCACCACCTTTTGGAGTTTCTGACAATTTTCAATTCAGGTATTTGTTGTGTTTGAAGATTGATTTGAAAAATTTGAAAATTTTTGGTAAAAGTCTCCAGTTGGAGTTTATTTTGAAATATTTTGGCATCAGTGAAAAAACCTGTTTTTTGAAAAATCACATCCCAATTCGCTTTATCAAAATTTAAGTGGGGTGTGGAGTAGTATTAATTTCGAGATGTTTGTTATTGATGATTATCTGAATGGCCAAGTGATCTAAGCCAACTGGCTAATGCTTTGGCTATACTGAAAGTTGGAGCACCATTTTTGGCGATGCAAAAACCAAGTCAATTGTATTATCTATGATATGCGTTGGGGTGCCTTCGTTTCCTATGTATTGATACTTGTGATCTGTTAAAAGATCGGCTAATTTTTTTGCTAATCTATCATTTATCGAATATGTTGATTGCCATATTGTATGATGTAAATTGAATTCCCATGCTAATAAATGGTGATCATTAAATGTATTTGAAGAAATCATTGTTGTTAACTTAGATATGGAGTTTGAATACCGTCGGTCTTTGATTATTATATGCGGGACGGTATACATTTGAGATTCTAAATTTGATACTAATTAAAATTGTTATAATGTAATTGTCTGTGATTGATTCGTCGATTAATAATTCATTTAATTGAACAAATGAATTGTTAATATATGTAGCTGCCCGAACTTTGTCGGCTGCATCTTTGATGATTTGGAAGAAGATTATTTTAAATTGAGAATCAGCTAAAAGACCCCAATTATGTTTTCTTTCGATGCGTTGTTGAACTAATATTATATCAGTTTTGAGGTGTCCTGCACCGCATTAAGCGACTTATTGATTCATTTTATGTTGTTCGATATGAGGTTAAGCACTTTCATTAATTTTGTCATGAGGTTGCGCTTTCAGGTTTGATGATGGTGATGTTAATGTTGTGATATGTTGAATATCATTCAATATTTGAATTTTTTCAGAATTTAGGTCTATCATAACATCTTTGGATTTTTTTCAGCAGCGTCGGTTGATCCTTTACTAGTTTGATGCTCTTCAATATCCGTATATACATTTGATGAAAGAATGTAGTCGTCGTCTATGATGTCTTCGTCCGTGGTGCTGAATAGAGTATGGGTGGATTGACTATAATTGGGGACTTCATCGCTGGAGTCCTTTTTCTTTTGATTGGGAGAAGGATCAGTAGTTTGCTTAGACTGATTAGTGATGCATCCTTAGTGGGTGGTGTGAGATTCCATGTTGAGTTCAACTCATTTTATATCTTTGGTGGTTTAATATGATTCAACTTTTCAGTGCCATTCGCATCCGTTTTGGTGAATTTGGCGGTGATATTTATATCTGTGTTCACGGTATTGGGATTTTAAAGGAGGGGTTAAAGCCCTTCATCTGAAATAGTTCTTAGTCTAGTACCATACCTTTCATGGCATGTTGAGAATCATTATCATTATTAAAGAACAGAATGATTCCTACTTTCACCTTGTATCAATTATTATGTCAGCTTAGCGAAAGGCTACATGGAGCATGGCCTCATGAGATTTGATTTTGTTCTTCGACTTTTTCTCTGAGAGTGGTAAAAGATAGAGGGCAGGGGAATCTAAGAACCATTTCATTCTTAGAGGGCAACAGGTAGTTTTATGAAGCGTGGTACAGTTGTATTGATGAAGATGAGACAGAGTTGTTGGTCAACATTTTCTTTGGCAGTTCTTGTTTGGTTATTCTTTGAAGTTCTGGCATTCATATATCGACTTTCTTGACTTGTAAATGGTCAAAATTGTGATGAATGATTTTAAAGTTTGGTGTTTAGTAAACCCAATTGTCTTAATGATTTCTGAAACAGTCATACGATTTATATCTGTAGCAATATTTGCAAATGTATTACCGTTAACCATTGTCTATCATGCCGATTTAAGGGTATTAGCTGTAAATTGACGTTTTAAAATGAACTGGGGGATTCGGCGCTTGTATGGGCAGTGCATTAGAGGTTGTGTAGCAAATGCTTTGTCATTAAGGGCTTGAGTAGTTGAAACAGTATTATTGTCATCACCTTTATGAAATAGAGCTACTATTGGTGCTATTACTAGCGACATAAGCATATGATAATTGTTAGAGGTTGGCTGCTGGGTTTCTAAGGGATCGAATCACCGACTTTTTCGATTGCATTTGCGACATAATTTTCAATATATTTGACAACATTAGCAATGAATATTTTGTATGTTTTGTCAGTATCTTCATTGATATTTGATTGAAGTGTTGAAGAAGGTTTGAGAACTTGATATAATATTGGAAGATCATTTAGGATCCATTGGTTGAGTCTCCTTGAAAGGTCTTGCACGCAGCAGTTTATGATGTGAGTTTGCAAAAAAGATGTGCTTAATTCATTCATGGTTTTTGAAGGATTGTCAAGATATTGGGCTATTCCTGCTAGTTGAGGAACAGGATTGGGTTGCAAATAGCAATTGTGTGGATTGTAGTAGAGCTCTGAACAGAAAAACTCATTTTTTGCCGTTGAGCAATATTTAATCATTATAGCACCTTGGACACCGCAACTGATCGTGTAGGAATTTGAGCAACAACAACATACTATCGGTAATGGTTTTCAATCGTAAGAAAATATGCACTGCCCTCAGCAGCCACAACTGGCTTTGAGAAAACAGTATCAACAGAAAGACATCAAAGAGCAGATGTTGCCTGTCGTGCAAGCCAGTTACAAATAACTGTGTTAGGTTTTGCTTTTGACGACACTAACCTTTGGAGGCGCCAGCAGGCAGAATGCCTTTGATGTTGGTTAAATATTTTTCAAAGATCTCTCCTGCTTGACTTAATCGATGAAACCAGCTTGATTTTTGTAAATCAACAGCAGCTAAAGCAACGAAAAACGGAAACTACGCTGAAACTGCATATCTAGCAGATAATAAACAATTTATATAAGAAAAATACTTTTGAGGTTGATCCAAAGCATTTCAGTTGTGGCAGCCAAAATCAAAATGAAATACAAGGAAGGAGAGCATAAAGCGCAATCTTTAATGGTTCAGCATAAGGAAGCATCAGTTTGCGAATACCATTGTCGTCACCGAAAGTGTCACCGATATTAGCAATCAGACTGCAGTAAGGAGCTAAGTCGCTGAGCTAATCAGCGTTAGCCAAATAATTTTGGCCAGCATCAGATCCAGAATTGAATTGCTACGCATTGAACATCAGGTTTTTGGTTAGTTGCCGGAACCCCACAACCAGTGACTGATCAACTTTTGGGCATCCTCAACGGCCAGAGCAGCAGAAGCTTCGGCTGGAACTGATGATCCAGCTGGAACTGAAGGTAGTGCCAATCACCCACTAGCCAAATGACCTTCTGTGCCCACGAAGGCTTGCCAATCATTCTCCTGCGTGCTTTGTCAATGGTTCCCTGCCATCAGAGACTGACGAAGTCGATCTTGAGCTACAATGAAATGCATTATTAGGAAATTGATTGGCCAGAACGGTGGTATCAGAACTAGTCAATTTCTGAAGGTTTGCGAATTGAGTAAGATTAATTTGGGCCCAAGTGGTGTACGAAAGCGAAACAGCGTTGAGCCTAGCGGCAGGAAGATCAGCTGTGTCGAACTTGAGAATGTTGCAATAGAATTCAAAAACGAAATCCCTCTAATCCCTCATATTCCAAAATGGCCTTGGCCACTCGCCGCAAGTGAAATACTTGGTCATGATAGTATCCGCCTGCACTCCGATTGCAGCATAGCAGTTCTTTGAGTCATATGATACTTGATCTATGTACCAGCCACTGTAGTGAACTTTTTCAATTAAAGAGGGTGATGATCCTCTTGTAATCGACCATTGGCAAATTGAACTCAAAGAAATATTATTTCTGAGCGAATTAGCGTAGTCAGCAAGCTTAGCATGATTTTGATAATGGGTTGAACCAACGGACGAAACAAACAGCTTTTGGATGGATGAACAGAACCCAAATAATATACTACGCGGCATCAAGAAGTTTCTGCAATTTTTGGTAAAAAACATTCCATACTTCGTTTATAAGTTGTTGGACCGAATCAATGACAATGCAATTAAGTGAAGGAAGTATATAAGAAAAACCTTGGAGGAACTGATCGCCAGCCCCATTTATAAAACGCTGGGTTACCTGAAACACCGTCACGGAAACAAAACGGTGTCAGCCTCAAAGAGACCAAATTTAAACATTCGGATGGCGGACAACAACCCGTTTGGAAATGAAATTTCAAAGTGTGCTGCCAAAAATAAGAAGGCCTGATTTTCTTTTAAAGATGACTGTGTTTATTTAAATGGTTCGCTAGCTGACAGCAAAGCATCTTCTGGAATATTTGAATGGGTCGCTGCGTGATCTGCTGATGCGTTAATTAGTACAAATTAGCATAAAGGGTCAAGTCATGTAAGCGAGCTTCCTGCAAAGGATCTGCCTAGCGCTAATGGGATTCACGCTGAGGGTTGTCAACTTTCTCAGTCATCTTCCAGAGGAAGCACGACGGAAATTGATAGTAGGTCGTCTAAAAGCCAGACCACTCCTGCTGATGGTCTTTCTTCATTTGATACTGTTGGCCCAATGCCACTTATTGCTGCTCAGCACAGTGGTTATTTTCTTACTATTGTTGAAAATTTGTTTACTTGCGGTGCTGCTTTTACGAATCCTACACGATCGTTAGCAGTCGCCAGGATGTTATATTACGTTGAATCAACTCAACGAATATCAGATACAATAGTTGATACTCTGAAATCTGATAACGGCTGTGCATCCAAGCCTTTGGAAAGCATTTGTCAATGTCGCAGAATCAGAGATCAAAAGTCAGTTTCTGATGAGTGTCACCAAAATGGGTCGCTAAATCTTGGAAAAAAACAACCAGCTCAAAAGAGGGCCAAAGTTAATTAAGGATCTTTTTCCTCATCGTTGCTAAAATTAAGCTGTGATGTGGACAGTGTTTTTCATCAATTTGATTACCACTGAACATGGGGCACTTTTCCTACCGTTTTGCATTCATTTTATCAAAAAATAAAAGCTGATCCTACGTTGAAGTTTTTCGGATGTGCCGCGTATGCAAAGATCCCCAAAATTATGAACCAAAGGTCGCTTGGTGATTAAAGTGTCCTCTGTGACTTTTCTGACTTGGAAGTGAGTTGAAAAATGCACAGAGTGGAGAATGGTCATTTCAGCTCTGCTGTTGTCACTTCATCGACTCGCATTAATCTCACCAGTACTCCTTTCAATGAACCATGTTTTGCTGATGCTGAACCAACAAATCTTTCTGCTCTTGGAGTTATTTCTATTGCCGCTTGAGCTATGGGGGAAATTCAGTTCATTGTGAACAATGGCAATGATATCACATTTGCAATATCTTCAGTCAATACATCAAAAAATTCCTCCAGTGAAGATCAACAATAAATCCTCAACAGCTGAGATGACAAAAAAAAAAGTGCTGTCGATGAAAATGTATTGGATTACCAAAGTCTCCTCAATCTACCAATGACGCTGATAGCAATCCAGATGCTAAATCCGGAGCTGCTCCTTACATGGAAATGGTTACTGGAAAAAAGAAGGTTCATCAACACGACCTTGATTCACCGAAGAGCGTGCTTAAATGGTATACAAATAAACTGAATGCTACCATTAAAGCGAAGTCTTTTTGATTTATTGGGCCATTGATTTCAGCGCCGCTGCTTCTGCTCAACCCGATCTTGCAGAACAAATTTCCAAAGTTGCATGTCAATCACAGCTTTAAGGAATGGTTGTTAACAATACTCTGTAGTCAGCTTGATGCCCTCTCCGAGAAAGGAGGTCGTCTTCAGTTTTCGTTGGGTGGCTTCAATGAACTAAGCACAAATTTGTATTTGGCAAAATCCTCCCTCGTGACACAAGAGCTACCTCGGCTTAAAGGAATTGATTATTGTAGATCATTTTGTGTAGGATATAGGAGAAAGAGTGTCACAGTTTGTTTTGTTGTTGCAGCATCCAATTCATTAAAGGAATAACAAATGAATGTTGCAACCGCATTTGTCCAGGAAGATTTTGACGCCGAATTTTTTATTGAACGACCTCTTCAATTTGTTTATGCTGTGTATTGGCTGAACGTTTGGATGTTACTGTGATCAATTTATGGAGCTAATCAATTTTCATTTGTGGTTACCACACGATGAGAAATGATTTCCGATGGTTTGCGTTCAAAAGTGCAATAGCTGAGCAAGCTGTGTTCTATCATCTAATGATCAACCTTCACCGGATTGAAGGATGGTATGTGCATCGTCAAACTTTGCCGGGTCCACAGATGCGATGTGCTAGCTCGACAAATCATATGTGAATTCATTGCTGAAAAGTAAATTAATGTAGTAAATCAGTGTCGGTTTTTAGAGATCTTGTCGCTCGAAGTAAAGACGATATTTTTCTATCTGAGAAAGGCATCGTCCGAGTGATAGTTCAACAGTTAAAATTGAATGAGTCTCAATCTCAAGCAACACCAATAGCCACTAACACATATGATGTGCTACTTAAAGCAGTTTGCTCTGCGCTGGATAGTTTGCTCTGAGCTGGATACAGATCAGTCCTCACATTGAAAATCAATTGATGTATCGTGACCCTCTGCTCCAAGATGGTTACGGAAGCTATTGGATTTGCTGTTGGGTTACTCATTCAAAATTGTGATTTACCATGCACGATCTACTTCAGATGGGCTAAAAGAATGAAAATATATCTGAACTCCAATCGATTATGAGTTCTATACACAATTGCTACTGCAGTTGAGATAGAAGAGACTGTGACGGTGCCTTAGCTAGAGACAGTGGTGATGGAAAATTACTTGGTGAGTGCGTGCTCCTCATTAATCAAAATCGGTCACTTGCAATTAAAGAAGCAGCCTTCGCAGGCCTTCTTGACATGTGAAGCCGATTACATTCTACTGACGGAAGCAGTGAAAGAAAGAGTCAACATAATGAAGGACTTCAAATACAGTGGTACATTTGTTGACATACCAATCATCAGTTCCATAAATATCTTTCTATACGCTTGTCTGACCATTCCACTACTAAAAGAAAATCCAAGCAAACTTCAATCAGGAACTGTCTGATAAGAGGGTTGTGGGGTGTTTCGATTTCTCTTGCAGGAGCTGATACTAAAAGTAATGTAACTTATATGTTGACCAAGGGGTACTTTGCTCCAGTGCTCGCTTATCAATATGAGCTGCTTCAATAGTTTAACTGCTGAGAATTTTCCTTTATTTTTTACATCGTTTTTAATTTATTTCATTATGTTTGTTTCATTTAATTTGGGTTGGCTATACTAGGTAATTACAAATATTTAATTTAATTACTGCGGTCAAATCTTTTCTACATTGGTTGCAAATCGACGGTCTGACAGGTGTTGTTCATCATTCGCAAAACGTTTATGTTGAAATTATCAAATGCTTTCGTATCAATTTGATCCCCTTTAATATTGTGTTTCATATTGCTTTATTTTTGTTCACTGTTTGACTTTAAATGTCAGTACATATTTGTACACTCCAAAATGGTTTGGTA